ACCTCGACCCATTGCCACAGCACACCACCACACCAGAACTGCGCTCTCTAGCCGACCTCGACACGTTGCCACAGCACACCACCACACCAGAACTACGCTCTCTAGCCGACTTCGACACGACATTGCCCCAGCATACCACCACACCAGAACTGCGCTCTCTAGCCGACCTCCACACATTGCCACAGCACACCATCACACCAGAACTGCGCTCTCTAGCCGACCTCGACACGTTGCCACAGCACACCACCACACCAGAACTACGCTCTCTAGCCGACCTCGACACATTGCCACAGCACACCACCACACCAGAACTATGCTCTCTAGCCGACCTCGACACTTTGCCACAGCACACCACCACACCAGAACTGCGCTCTCTAGCCGACATCGACTAATTGCCACAGCACACCACCACACCAGAACTGCGCTCTCTAGCCGACCTCGACACATTGCCACAGCACACCACCACACCAGAACATTGCTCTCTAGCCGACCTCGACACATTGCCACAGCACACCACCACTGCAGAACTGCGCTCTCTAGCCGACCTCGACACATTGCCACAGCACACCACCACACCAGAACTATGCTCTCTAGCCGACCTCGACACATTGCCACAGCACACCAGCACACCAGAACTGCGCTCTCTAGCCGACCTCGACACATTGCCACAGCACACCAACACACCAGGAATCCGCTCTCTAGCCGACCTCGACACGTTGCCACAGCACACCACCACTGCAGAACTGCGCTCTCTAGCCGACCTCGACACATTGCCACAGCACACCACCACACCAGAACTATGCTCTCTAGCCGACCTCGACACATTGCCACAGCACACCACCATACCAGAACTGCGCTCTCTAGCCGACCTCGACACATTGCCACAGCACACCACCACTGCAGAACTGCGCTCTCTAGCCGACCTCGACACATTGCCACAGCGCACCACCACACCAGAACTGCGCTCTCTAGCCGACCTCAACACATTGCCACAGCACACCACCACACCAGAACTGCGCTCTCTAGCCGACCTCGACACTTTGCCACAGCACACCACCACACCAGAACTGCGCTCTCTAGCCGACCTCGACTAATTGCCACAGCACACCAACACACCAGAACTGCACTCTCCACCCAACCTCGACACAACTTTGCCATAGCACACCACCACACCAGAACTGCGCTCTCTAGCCGACCTCGACACGTTGCCACAGCACACCACCACACCAGAACTACGCTCTCTAGCCGACCTCGACCCATTGCCACAGCACACCACCACACCAGAACTGCGCTCTCTAGCCGACCTCGACACGTTGCCACAGCACACCATCACACCAGAACTGCGCTCTCTAGCCGACCTCGACACGTTGCCAAAGCACACCACCACACCAGAACTACGCTCTCTAGCCGACTTCGACACGACATTGCCCCAGCACACCACCACACCAGAACTGCGCTCTCTAGCCGACCTCCACACATTGCCACAGCACACCATCACACCAGAACTGCGCTCTCTAGCCGACCTCGACACGTTGCCACAGCACACCACCACACCAGAACTACGCTCTCTAGCCGACCTCGACACATTGCCACAGCACACCAGCACACCAGAACTATGCTCTCTAGCCGACCTCGACACTTTGCCACAGCACACCACCACACCAGAACTCCGCTCTCTAGCCGACCTCGACTAATTGCCACAGCACACCACCACACCAGAACTTCTCTCTGTAGCCGACCTCGACACATTGCCACAGCACACCACCACACCAGAACATTGCTCTCTAGCCGACCTCGACACATTGCCACAGCACACCACCACTGCAGAACTGCGCTCTCTAGCCGACCTCCACACATTGCCACAGCACACCACCACACCAGAACTATGCTCTCTAGCCGACCTCGACACATTGCCACAGCACACCAGCACACCAGAACTGCGCTCTCTAGCCGACCTCGACACATTGCCACAGCACACCAACACACCAGGAATCCGCTCTCTAGCCGACCTCGACACGTTGCCACAGCACACCACCACTGCAGAACTGCGCTCTCTAGCCGACCTCGACACATTGCCACAGCACACCACCACACCAGAACTATGCTCTCTAGCCGACCTCGACACATTGCCACAGCACACCACCATACCAGAACTGCGCTCTCTAGCCGACCTCGACACATTGCCACAGCACACCACCACTGCAGAACTGCGCTCTCTAGCCGACCTCGACACATTGCCACAGCACACCACCACACCAGAACTGCGCTCTCTAGCCGACCTCGACACATTGCCACAGCACACCACCATACCAGAACTGCGCTCTCTAGCCGACCTCGACACATTGCCACAGCACACCACCACTGCAGAACTGCGCTCTCTAGCCGACCTCGACACATTGCCACAGCACACCACCGCACCAGAACTGCGCTCTCTAGCCGACCTCGACACATTGCCACAGCACACCACCACACCAGAACTACGCTCTCTAGCCGACCTCGACACATTGCCACAGCACACCACCACACCAGAACTATGCTCTCTAGCCGACCTCGACGCTTTGCCACAGCACACCACCACACCAGAACTGCGCTCTCTAGCCGACCTCGACTAATTGCCACAGCACACCACCACACCAGAACTGCGCTCTCTAGCCGACCTCGACACATTGCCACAGCACACCACCACACCAGAACATTGCTCTCTAGCCGACCTCGACACATTGCCACAGCACACCACCACTGCAGAACTGCGCTCTCTAGCCGACCTCGACACATTGCCACAGCACACCACCACACCAGAACTATGCTCTCTAGCCGACCTCGACACATTGCCACAGCACACCAGCACACCAGAACTGCGCTCTCTAGCCGACCTCGACACATTGCCACAGCACACCAGCACACCAGGAATCCGCTCTCTAGCCGACCTCGACACGTTGCCACAGCACACCACCACTGCAGAACTGCGCTCTCTAGCCGACCTCGACACATTGCCACAGCACACCACCACACCAGAACTATGCTCTCTAGCCGACCTCGACACATTGCCACAGCACACCACCATACCAGAACTGCGCTCTCTAGCCGACCTCGACACATTGCCACAGCACACCACCACTGCAGAACTGCGCTCTCTAGCCGACCTCGACACATTGCCACAGCACACCACCACACCAGAACTGCGCTCTCTAGCCGACCTCCACACATTGCCACAGCACACCACCACACCAGAACTTGTCTCTCTAGCCGACCTCGACACGTTGCCACAGCACACCACTACACCAGAACTGCGCTCTCTAGCCGACCTCGACACAACGTTGCCACAGCACACCACGACACCAGAACTGCACTCTCTAGCCGACCTCGACACGTTGCCACAGCACACCACCACTGCAGAACTGCGCTCTCTAGCCGACCTCGACACATTGCCACAGCACACCACCACACCAGAACTGCGCTCTCTAGCCGACCTCGCCACGTTGCCACAGCACACCATCACACCAGAACTGCGCTCTCTAGCCGACCTCGACACGTTGCCACAGCACATCACTACACCAGAACTACGCTCTCTAGCCGACCTCGCCACAACGTTGCCACAGCACACCACTACACCAGAACTGCGCTCTCTAGCCGACCTCGACACACCATTGCCACAGCACACCACCACACCAGAACTGCGCTCCCTAGCCTACCTCGACACGTTGCCACAGCACACCACCACTGCAGAACTGCGCTCTCTAGCCGACCTCGACACATTGCCACAGCATACCACCACACCAGAACTACGCTCTCTAGCCGACCTCAAAACGTTGCCACAGCACACCACCACACCAGAACTACCCTCTCTAGCCGACCTCGACACAACGTTGCCACAGCACAACACCAGCAAAGCGACACAACCTTTGGTACTCTGTTCCTTCATACACACAATGCTGTTTCGAGTATAAAACTATCTTCAGTGACTGTAGATAATGTAGAATGGATAAGATAGTGAAAATCACCGTTTTGTACCGAAGCGGTAAGCACAATGCGCACGACCAAGGCACAAAGAATAGGGGTGCGTTTGGTTGGTACGATCTTGAACAGGATGGAACAGCTGGTGCACATAGATAGAGCACCTTCATGCCAACCAAACGGTACTCCAGAAACAGAGCACATTTTGTCGTGAAAAATATATGCCAAACTTGGTGCATTCTTCAAAATGTGTATTGGTCACCATGGTCACTGTGTACGGTACGACGAGTCCAACCCAAGCGCGCATGCACGTGATCATTTGGGATCAAAATTGATGTTCCTGCCAGGTTTCACTGTGAAAAAGTGAAACTGGTACACTGACAAGGGTAATTTTCACTATCTTAGCCATTCTGCAATATCTACGGTCACTGACGAGAGTTTTATACTGAAAATAGCCGGAGGTTGTACCCAGTGTGCTGACAGTGCTCAACACGGCGGAGGCAGAGCGTAATACAGACTTGTTGTTTTGTTCTGTACTGAAAATAGCAGTACCAAGGAACCGGGTACCAATGCCATGGATGTGTCGCTTGCTGATGGTAAGCTGTGGCAATGTGTCAAGGTCGGCTGCAGAGCGCAGTTGTGGTGTGGTGGTTGACGAAATATATGCTTCGTCCCACTTTAAAAAATATAAAAAATAAATTTGACGGGTTCGCGTACCAGGCAGGTCAAGAACAAGGAGTCCTACAACTCCCTGGTCAAAAACCACCTTTCCGCTTCCGTGGGACGCCACCACCCCATGATCAGGCGCCTTTGGCCTATGGTTGGTGGATCTGATCTATCCTTCCCCACCGTTTAGGAGCTGCATCTTACTTAAAAAATACCAATAAATGGGATAAATTCTACAGTCATTACCACAAATCAACGAAGTCAACATCGATTTTGGAAAACCTTCATGACTTCGTTGATGAGTGGTGATCACGGCAGAATTTATCCCATTTGTAATGCTGCTCTGAAGTTATTGCCTCAACATCGTTTACTCGTCTTACTTTTCTTTCGCCATGGAGAGTTTAGTCTTGGTGAAAGTGTCAGAGTACTCTACAAACTTCAGCTAGGTACCGCGGTTGACAGCCATCAGCAAGGATCCCATGGAAGAAAACACACACAAACACACACCAAAGGAGACGCATACACAAACACACACACATACACACACACACACACACACACCAAAGGAGACGCATACCCGCACACGCATGCACACACAAGCACACAACAAAGGAGACAAATACACGCACACGCATACACCAACACCCACACACACACACACACACACGCACACACACACACACACACTCACAAACACACACATATTCACCCAACCACACAGACAATGAAGAGGACTCACAGACAGATAGACAGACAATAAGTTATGTCCACAAAACCAACACAAATTGAAATTCCCTGTGCTAGAAACGAGATGACAACATCAATGTGCTCCGTACTGTATAAAATACAAAATTTCATTTAGAAAATCTTTCCTTACATCACTCCATCAGCAGGTTCGTTACGTACCGAATTTCGTTTTTGGTCGAGGTTTGTCACCCCAAACGTACAGAATTTTCTTAGTAGAAACTTTAGTTATTTTCAGATCCCCTGACGAATATAGCGAAAGTTAATTCCAAACAAAAATTAGTACTTTAATATACAGTATACATGACCACTGACTGTACTCTGTATACATGACCACTGACTGTACTCTGTATACATGACCACTGACTGTACTCTGTATACATGACCACTGACTGTACTCTGTATACATGACCACTGACTGTACTCTGTATACATGACCACTGACTGTACTCTGTATACATGACCACTGACTGTACTCTGTATACATGACCACTGACTGTACTCTGTATACATGACCACTGACTGTACTCTGTATACATGACCACTGACTGTACTCTGTATACATGACCACTGACTGCACTCTGTATACATGACCACTGACTGTACTCTGTATACATGACCACTGACTGTACTCTGTATACATGACCACTGACTGCACTCTGTATACATGACCACTGACTGTACTCTGTATACATGACCACTGACTGTACTCTGTATACATGACCACTGACTGTACTCTGTATACATGACCACTGACTGTACTCTGTATACATGACCACTGACTGTACTCTGTATACATGACCACTGACTGTACAGTACGTACTTGTCGACCATGTAGATTAACTGATGAACCAATGTAGCAGTGATCCAGCCTGATAGACTCCTCCTTGGTACATTTCAGGAATATGCGCTTGTTTTTCACATCAATCTACAATGTTTGCACAAGGCGATAGACAGAAACACACAACAGCAGACAGACAGGCAGAAAGCCAGACAGACAGCCAGACAGACAGAGAGATAGGTAGAAAGACAGGCAGGCAGATAGAGAGATAGGCAGAAAAACAGACAGACAGACAGAGAGATAGGCAGAAAAACAGACAGACAGAGAAATAGGCAGAAAAACAGACAGACAGAGAGATAGGCAGAAAGACAGGCAGGCAGGCGAAAAGACAGCCAGGCAAAAAGACAGGCAGGCAGGCAGGTAGATAGACAAAGTATGGCTCAAATGCACACACACACACACACACACACACACACACACACACACACACACACACACACACACACACACCTCAGACCTCAGACATGCCCATCGCGGAAGCGTTGATAGCGAACAGCTATGTTAGACATAGCAACTTGTGCTGGGATTACACCATTCAATAGCTTGCAAGGCTGACACACACACACACACACACACACACACACACACACACACACACACACACACACACACACACACACACACACACATACCATAATGTATACGCCCGTCGCAAGAGAAGCAAGCAAATCTGCAAATGCACTGGATGTGCACCCACAGATTTTCTCTTATAGCAACGATAGCGAACAAGATCTGAATGAGACAGATCAAGACATGCGCCAGATAACTGTCTAATCCACACAACTGGCGAAGCCATGTGAATCGACCACCAGTGCACACCTGGTCTACACCACACGGAGTACATCGGCATAAAACGGCCAAGACAGTTAGTTGCCTATGCACACCCTACACTTGCTGGGGTAACCATGGTAACCAGTATAGACAGCACGCTGCTTTGATAGAAGCAGACACTATATGCACTGGTTCCTTGAAGTGAAATTGGAGTACACACAGAGACACACACAAACGCACACACAGACACACACACACACACACACAGACACACAAACGTACACAAAGGCAGAAACCAGGATATGATGCGATCCGGAGTTTCATGCTTTGTAGGCAACCGTCTTACAGCAAACCGAATCAAACTAATATTGTCCCGGACGAAAATATAATAATAATGTATGCTGTATATGGGATACATAACACGGGGATGAGAGTGGTGATGGGTATTACTAAGGCTGTGTTCTGTGTGTAAGGGTGGGGGGATGAGAGTGGTGATGGGTATTACTAAGGCTGTGTTCTGTGTGTAAGGGTGGGGGGATGAGAGTGGTGATGGGTATTACTAAGGCTGTGTTCTGTGTGTAAGGGTGGGGGGATGAGAGTGGTGATGGGTATTACTAAGGCTGTGTTCTGTGTGTAAGGGTGGGGGGATGAGAGTGGTGATGGGTATTACTAAGGCTGTGTTCTGTGTGTAAGGGTTGGGGGATGAGAGTGGTGATGGGTATTACTAAGGCTGTGTTCTGTGTGTAAGGGTGGGGGGATGAGAGTGGTGATGGGTATTACTAAGGCTGTGTTCTGTGTGTAAGGGTGGGGGATGAGAGTGGTGATGGGTATTACTAAGGCTGTGTTCTGTGTGTAAGGGTGGGGGGGGGATGAGAGTGGTGATGGGTATTACTAAGGCTGTGTTCTGTGTGTAAGGGTGGGGGGATGAGAGTGGTGATGGGTATTACTAAGGCTGTGTTCTGTGTGTAAGGGTGGGGGGATGAGAGTGGTGATGGGTATTACTAAGGCTGTGTTCGGTGTGTAAGGGTGGGGGGATGAGAGTGGTGATGGGTATTACTAAGGCTGTGTTCTGTGTGTAAGGGTGGGGGGATGAGAGTGGTGATGGGTATTACTAAGGCTGTTTTCTGTGTGTAAGGGTGGGGGGATGAGAGTGATGATGGGTATTACTAAGGCTTTGTTCTGTGTGTAAGGGTGGGGGGATGAGAGTGGTGATGGGTATTACTAAGGCTGTGTTCTGTGTGTAAGGGTGGGGGGGGGGGGGGGTGAGAGTGGTGATGGGTATTACTAAGGCTGTGTTCTGTGTGTAAGGGCGGGGGGATGAGAGTGGTGATGGGTATTACTAAGGCTGTGTTCTGTGTGTAAGGGTGGGGGGATGAGAGTGGTGATGGGTATTACTAAGGCTGTGTTCTGTGTGTAAGGGTGGGGGGGATGAGAGTGGTGATGGGTATTACTAAGGCTGTGTTCTGTGTGTGAGGGTGGGGGGATGAGAGTGATGATGGGTATTACCAAGAGTAGATAAACAAGAGTGTGCAACTCCGGATCTCTCCTGCACAATCTGCAGATACCCCCGCCCACGGCGGAATTTTTTGTTGACGTCACCTTTTTTCAGAGAAACGCGGACGTTGCCGCAGAGCAGTGTGAGAGCACGTGCTGGGCACCGACCTTGTAGTGTAAAACCCGGCCAAGTGCACGAGAGAAACCTCTCCAAAAGGCTCGCAGCGCGTGCGTCGTCGAAAAGATTACGTCAACAAAAAATTCCGCCGTGGGCATACCCATCCGCGAGTTGCACACTCTTGTTTATCTACTCTTGGTATTACTAAGACTGTGTTCTGTGTGTAAGGGTGGGGGATTTGAGTGGTGATGGGTATTACTAAGGCTGTGTTCTGTGTGTAAGGGTGGGGGGATGAGAGTGGTGATGGGTATTAGTATTACTAAGGCTGTGTTCTGTGTGTAAGGGTGGGGGGATGAGAGTGGTGATGGGTATTACTAAGGCTGTGTTCTGTGTGTAAGGGTGGGGGGATGAGAGTGGTGATGGCTATGACTAAGGCTGTGTTCTGGGTGTAACGGGCAAAGGACCTGTACGTTACTAGTTATGGTCCATTCTATTACTAGTGGCTCGACACCCAGGTTTTTGTTGTGTGCATGTGTTAGTGTTGATGTGTTTTGTGTGTGTGTGTGTGTGTGTGTGTGTGTGTGTGTGTGTGTGTGTGTGTGTGTGTGCAAGCGCGCGTGGGGGCGTGCTCGGGAGTGTATGTCATGCGCGGGTTGGTGTTAGATCCATGCTCACTTGTATGGATATAGTACATTCTGAGCATGTCTGGGTTCGAGGAAACATGATGCTCTTCAATGGTATGCTCAAGAACATTACCGTGCTATTAAAACATAGGACAAGACAGCAGGCATTTGTATAACCAAGAGCCACAGAGTACCGAGGTTGTGTACACTGGGTTGTACCACCAATATTACAACATGGGACAAGACAGCATGCATTTGTATAACCAAGGGTCACAGAGTATCGAGGTTATGTACATGTACACTCGATTGTGCCACCAAGTGAGCAACGCACCATTTCCACGCTGCTATCTTTAGGATAGAAGAGGAAGTTGTAGCGTCGCACTATGCCCGCTAGCGAATCATACCACTCCACGAGGAAAGCGTAGCGTTCACCTTCCATAATTACACGGTGAACTGCTGACGACTGGAACAAATCGCCGGCAAGAATGTGCAATGGTCTGGTGTGGAGTGTAACTACTCACGATACACAGTGACACAGCTACGTTCCAAGCTCTGAGTAGCAGATAGTAGGAATTACAGCAGCAGCGCTAGTAGCAGCAGCCGCAGCAGGTGCTGCCTGGTAGATTGGGAAGCAATCACTACCCTGTACTCGTTAGTGCTGACCCGAATTTGCTAGCAATTCTTCTAGCAAAATATCGAAGAATTTTGAAAGGGAATTTGCTGGCAAAATGGAGCAAAATATCGGTGTGTTGGCTGGGAATTGGGAGATTTTACACATATACGGTGCACATGACTCATTTCGGCACAATTTTACCAACACGTGACTCACTTTTTCTCATTTTTGCCAACACGTAACCCACTTTCGGTCAGTTTTCTCACACGTGACACAAATTTTGGAGCAAAAAGGGAGCAAAATATCGAGTGGCCTAGCAAAATGAAAGCAAAATTTCGACGATGCACGAGCAAAATTATGCCGCAAAATATCGAGATTCAGCTGGCAAATTCGGGTCAGCACTAGTACTCGTCCTCCAATCTACTCCACACACGTGACCACACCCGAAGACGACCTGCACTAGTACAGACCAGTAGTCAGTAGTCGACTGCAAACTATCCACTCATGGGTTTTCCGTTACTGGCGTTAGCTTGAAAACTACAACAAACAGCCCAAGGACTGCCACACTCGAACCTGGCCTGAGCGCAAGGATTGCCACACTGGAACCTGGCCTGAGCGCAAGGATTGCCACACTGGAACCTGGCCTGAGCGCAAGGATTGCCACACTGGAACCTGGCCTGAGCGCAAGGATTGCCACAGTCGAACCTGGCCTGAGCGCAAGGATTGCCACACTGGAACCTGGCCTGAGCGATATGAACACCATGTACCACTGAGTGTTCTATAGAAACTCTGAATATTCCCGGAGCAAATGTCTCAATGATTAGGACACCGAGGCAACTAATACTTGTTCTCTTCACCGTCTTTCAAACATTCGATTATTTAGAAAAGCGATCCTGTCAGCTTTTCTATTATTGTGTTCACATGGCGCTACCTAACGACACCGCTATTCAGACACGTTGTCTACGTAGCTACGTAATTTTCTACGTAAGATGCTCGGTACCTGGTCCTGGACCAGGGAGCTACTCCATGGCTCCTACCATCGCGCGGCCGGCTGGCCGCATGCGTGTGCATTGCAGACTTTTTGTTGTTGCCTTTTCGGATGTGCATGCACGAGGAACTTCCTTCTTTGGAACTGCTTCTTGCATGAGCTGTTACCGATATTTCGTCTCCTGGCCTGGCTTATTTCGTTTCGGCGCTGCTGAGACCTCCTTTCGCGGAATATTACTCAATGACAGGTGAGTTGACCAGTTCCCTTTGATTCATTTGCTTGTGTTGACTCTTTCATTTACGAAAAGTGTGCTGATTTTGGGCGGAATGCAATAAATAATGGAAAAGCTGACAGGATCTCCTTTCTAAATTTAGCTTTTCCGCTGCCGAGGCCTCCTTTTACGGAATACTCAATGACAGGTGATCTCTGAGTTGACCAGTTTCCTTCGATTCATTTGCTTATGCTCACCCTTTCATTTACGGAAACGTGTGCTGATTTTATTCGGATTTAGATCCATTTTTATCTCTTTGCCCTTGTCTACAGTGTGCGAAGAACGCGAGTTCAACTTCTTGACGGTAAGGCTTATGTTAGATGTGTTGTCGAAATACTCATATTCATTGCACGTTAGTACGTTACAAGTAAGGCACTGGTCAGTGGCATACTATCGTTGGCAGTTCCCAATCTGGAGGGAAATGTTCAAGGACTCATTGACCGAGTTTGCCAAATAAATTCGCATATCAGGGAAAATCTCCATTGTGGAGAGGTTAAGTAACTTGTTTGCTTGTTTGCTTCATACGAAACAATCCAATGGGTGGAGTCTCGTGAAAATCTCGTACTTGTATGATTGGATTTGTTTACTCGAGTCTGGGCTGATTGATTTGTGAGTACCGCCGAGGTTGCACTGCCCCAAATAAAGTTTCGTGCCGCCAAAGCAAGAATTACGATCTGCAATCTGTTTGTAGTACCTGTAGTACCTGCAAGAATGTGCAGTATATGTATCGTACTTTCTCTGTTGCTGTTTCACTTGCCGTCATGTTGCTAAAGAAAGGTTCAGTAGAGGTTCTGATCGGTGGAATATGCTGCCTTCCACTGTTCGCTCTTGTACAGATTATCGCCCATTTGTTCGTTCATGCTTTAAAACTTTCTAGGGGCTCCCGTAAGAAGACCATAGGTCTGTGGGAAATACCCTGGTCTGTGGGAAATACTCTAGTAAAATAAATAAAATAATAATAATAAGAAACTCGGGTATTGAGCCAACAATAAAAGTAGAAAGGAAAAGGACATATGGAAACGAGTTAAGAGTAACTCTCCACCACTGTAACTAGATACTATATACAGTCAGAAAGTGCAACAACTAGGCACAAAACTGACAGAGTACTGAGACATTCGACGTCCTGACACCTAGCTTCAACACATCTCCGCAGCGCTAACCAACAGCCTTCCAACTTGGAAGGTTCAAGAACCTTCCAAGTTAGAAGGCTGTCGGTTAGCGCTGCGGAGATGTGTTGAAGCTAGGTGTCAGGACGTCGAATGTCTCAGTACTCTGTCAGTTTTGTGCCTAGTTGTTGCACTTTCTGACTGTATATAGTATCTAGTTACAGTGGTGGAGAGTTACTCTTAACTCGTTTCCATATGTCCTTTTCCTTTCTACTAATAATAATAAGGTTCTGCAAAACGAAAATTCGAACGAAGTTTCGCGGCAGTCCTTGCAAAAGTGTGTACGAATTTTTGCACGAACTTTGCGTTCTGCACATTTTCGTAGTTTGCGCGGGCCAAGTGCACGTACGCCATGACCCGATCTCACGAAATTTCCTACGACAGTTCATTTCGCGTTCCCTGCAAGTTTCGCGTCCAAACTTGCGAAAGTTCGTGCGAAGTTTCGCACTTCATGATGTAGAGCGAAACTTTGTACGCATTTTCGTTTTGCAGAACCTCTCTAGTGACTCTTTTGTTTCATACGAGACGAGTCAATGAGTCGGTGTGGCTTAGAATCTTTCGCTGTAGAAGAAATCTATTCGTATGTCTATTGGAGAAATAATTGTATTCACTGGTTATAAAATAGGTTAAGACAAACTCACAGAATAAATACCATCGGTCCCTTGGTGTTCGTCCTAAAGAGGTTCGACTGGATATCATTCATACTCACCAAAAGATGTGTAAGATTTTATTTTCATGGAGTGCCTTGTTTATCTCTCAGTATCAGTACCTCCAACCAGAGCCTTGACCCTTTTATCCTCAGGATCAGTGGAGTTGTTGGAACGAGGTGTCTGACTCAGCAATGTATTTGTTTACATTTTAATACATGTTTATTGTTCCTCCTTTGTTGTGTTGTTTTAGAAAATCGTGGACTAACAGTTTGAAGTCATTGAACTACTTCCAAAAGTTGTATCGACATCAACAGGATAACCATTTCAGTGCAATATGATGCTGGATGACCTTATCACGATAACCCATGATTATAAACCATTATAAACACAGAATCAACAAAAACATCTGCGACACGCACCTGGCGCATGGCTATGTTTCTCAAATAAATCTGATCGAGGGTGGGGAAATCTGAAAGGCCAGACAAATTTATGACAGAGTCATGAAATTCTGCAACAGCAACATGCACAGAATGACCTCCGAATAAAAAAAGTATAACGACCACTACGAGCGTCACATGTGCCAGTGGTTGTGAGACTTATCCACTCACCCACACCGTTAGGCGCTGCATCTGCCGCTAGGATTTACCGGGTGTTAGCGGCCGTCGTGAGTTCCCTTCGGGAACGGACACGATAATTTACTCACATGTTTCCCCGCAGAAGAACATGCATTATGCTATTATTATTGAACGGCCTCTGCTGGGATGACGACTACACCATAGCTCAGTGGTTAGAGCATCGCTGGCTACAAGCGAAGGTCCCTGGTTCGAGTCCTGGTGGTGACAGTCGATTTTTTCTTCAGACTTTCCCGTTTGTCTCTTTCCCTCAAACCAGTTAATATTATTATTATTATTATTTTATTTATTTTACTAGGGTGTTTCCCACAGACCTATGGTCGGGAGCCCCTAGAAAGGTTAAGCATGAACGAACAACTGGGCGATAATCTGTACAAGAGCGAACAGTGGAAGGCAGCATATTCCACCGATCAGAACCTATGTAGCCAAGACGAGAAAACCCAGCTTTAGTGTGGGCAGAAGGCAAGGCCAGAGAAAAAGAGATTTGGGACCTAGTGACGGCAGTAGTATGTGCACTGGAGGAGCGGGTATGCTAGTGCCATTTTCTGCAAGAAAAGGCTTGCACATTAATGCGTATAATACGGTATTGATATGATCAAGAGTACATAAACCTCTTGATATGATGTGAAGGCCATCATTTACATAATTATTGATATAGGGGGTTATGTACTCTTGATATAGGGCATTCCGGGGGGATATTCCATTGATTGGTGACAGAAAAAACAAAAGAAATTATAGCAATAAAAACTGCTTTATGGCAGTTTTCTAAAAAAAGTTATTGTGTTCTAGTCCATGGACCCCGTCTAAAAAGTAAGAAATTACCGAGAATGTGATAGCTGAAAATTAAAATTTCACACAAAACCTCACAATAATCACACACAGAATTAAAAGCTACATGTAGAAGACCTTTTCCCCTCGTGATCCTCTTTCCTATGCATGCATGGTGCCAATTGGTGGTGCAGTACCATCATATCCTGCATGCCAATAAAATTCACATCATGTCAATTAATGAAACCTGGCTAGACAGCTCAGTATCAGATTCCCTGCTGAACATCCCTGGATATCGGATATACCGGAACGACAGGAACTTGAGGGGCGGAGGTGTGTGCTTGTACGTCATGTCTAGTCTCCGCGCTCGTCTCATCATGCCCGCATCCAACACACATCTGGAGTCGTTGTTTGTGTCAGTTCGCATTGCACGGGAGCCAGATGCGTGTAAGCTCCTCGTGAGTTCAGTCTACCGCCCACCGAGCTCTGGTACAGAATTCTGGGAGCAGTACAGTGCCCAGTTGGATGGCATTTTCGTGGACAGCTCTGACCTGCTAG